ACTAGTGATAGTTACATGGTACTCCAGAGAATACCATGATATAACAATACATAAAAGGTTGGCTATTATCATGACATGGCATTCTGAAGTAATTTAAAAAAAGTACCATGTCCATGGAAATAGTATTGTGGTCCTATGTTAGTGGTATGCTAGTATAAAATGTGAATCAAGTGTTTCTGATCACAGGTGTCCCAGGACCTTCCGTTCCTCCACCCCAGTGAGACCAGTGTCCTCAATCGGCTCTGTAAAATGGGCACTGACTATGTGCGCTTCACAGAATTCACAGAGCAGCACACGGGTCATGTCCACCAACAGGTAATCTGAGCGTATTCTGCATGCATTGTTTTGTCAAGGACATGATCAGATCAAGGCTGAAGTGTGATTTCATCTACATGTCTCACAGGAGCATTACTCCAGCCAGCCGAGTCAGTCTGGGCTTCATGGCATTTACCTGCGGGCGTTCTGCACTGGGCTCAACTCCATGCTGCAGCCCTATCGGCACGCTTTACTGGACCTCGAAAAAGAGGTGTTAGACTTGGAGTTTACATTTGAAGTCCTTTTATGGCTGTATTTGCACAGATAATAATAAAATTAAACATTGTTAATACTATTAAACTTTACATTTTCCCTACAGTTTTTAGGTGATCCACACCTCTCCATTTCTCACGTAAACTACATGCTGGAACAGGTAAATCAAACTTTCTAGATATTTTACCTATACATCCAATCCACTGAAATAAGCTAAATGACCTAATTGATCTATTTACACTATTGTTCAAAAGTTTGGGATCAGAAAGGTTTATTATTTTTTGAAAGAAATTAATACTTTTATTCAGCAAGAATCCATTAAATTGATCAAATGATTATAATGTTACATAAGATTTCTTTAAAAAAATATATGGTTTCCAAAATACTATAAAGCAGCACAATTGTTTTCAACATTGATAATAATAAGAAAGTTTCTTGAGTGCCAAATCAGCATATCAGAATGATTTCTAATTTAGAATGATTTTCTAATGACTTCACTGAAGACTGGAGTAATGACTGCTGAAAATTTAGCTTTGCCATCACAGGGAAAAAAAATGTTAAAATAGAAAACAGTTATTTTAAATTGTAATAATATTTCACAATATTATGTTTTTACTGTATATTATATCAAATAAGTGCAACCTTGGTGAGCATAAAAGACTTATTTTAAAAGAATCAAAACCAACCTTTTGAACAGTAGTGTGTATATAGTTGTTTAAATTATTTTTAAAATATTATTTTCAATTATATCAAACTAAGTCCCAGATTTTTCATATGAACACAAGTTTTCAACCCCACTGTATATGACTAACTTGCAATTTCTTCTGTTGTTTAGTTTCAGCTTCTCTTCCCCTCTGTGATGGTTGTTGTGGAGACCATCAAGTCTCAGAAGGTTGGTAGCTTGACGGGAGCCACCGCTTTGCTGTAAATGATTAGAAGAGTGCATGGTTGAAAATAATAACCTTTCTGAAACTTTCTTGTTTCAACAGATTCATGGCTGCCAGATCCTAGAGACTGTGTACAAGCACAGCTGTGGAGGACTGCCTCCTGTCAGGATGGCCTTAGAGAAGTGAGCTCACAAAAACCCAACTAAAAACCCCTAATGCACGTGGTGGTGGAATGTAAGACACAGAATTCTATTTTTACTGCTCTAATGGTAGTGTCTGTTTTGCAGGATTCTTGCAGTGTGCCATGGCGTGATGTATAAGCAGCTGGCTGCGTGGATGCTGCACGGGTTGCTGCTGGATCAGAGTGAGGAGTTCTTTGTCAAGCAGGGCCCCAGCGCAGGCGGAGCCACAGCTGCACAGGAGGAAGAGGAGGAGGACCTGGGTATCGGAGGGCTGAGTGGAAAACAGCTCCGTGAGCTGCAGGATTTGGTGAGCAACTAAATAAGTTAGAGCAGGGTGATTTGAGCCTGTGGGGAAGTTAAGCCACCCCTTGTTTGTAGGCAACCTTAAACAAAATTGGGTTATCCATTTTATTCACCTGGAGCCTAACCTAGCATCTTGAGCAACAGGTGGGGAAACTCCCTGCATGAACGGCCAGTCCATCACAAGGCTCACACAGAGATTTTAGGAAGTCATTTTTATTGAATTTCCCTTGCATAAAGTGAAAATATTCGGCATAATCAGTGGTAAATTTTAATTCCAGGTGGCTCAACTTACCCTCTCCCAAGACTCAATTTACCCCTCACTGGGGAAAAATTGAGCCAAGAGACCACTAGACCACTTTGTTTTTTTTTTGTGAAAGCAGTTTATTTTAGATCCAAATTGATTATTCCCAAGGATGCACCACATCCTGAAATTTATGTACATATTTAAATTGGCCCATTACTGTCATGCGCTCGCTTTAAACACAGCGTACGTAAAAACTGGCTCAACTCACCCTGCTCTCCCCTATATATAAAATTCACTTTACACTTTTATGAAGTTTCCAAAAAATAAATTGGTCCCTGGCAAAACATCTGCTATATATATATATATATATATATATATAGTTTTTCAATATTATATATTATATGTTTTGAATTTTTTTTGTAAATAAAAAAAATATTTTTTAAGAAAACGTAACATTTTTTTGAAGAAAATATAAAATATTACTCATTAAAAATTTATATTTTTAGAAAAATGATCAAATTACATTGCTAAGATAAAATCATTATAATAGAAGTTTTGCCAGTTATTTTTGGAGGCCTTATAAAAGTGTAAAGTGGATTTATTTCATATATTTTTAGGCCTTGAAAACTAAAAAAAATCAGCAATATTTTGCATCCAGAAAGAGTGTTGATGAATTTGTGAAGCTCTGTTTCTGCCGTTCTGAAAGCGCCACCTGCTGGCAGAAAATGAATTTGAATATTATTTTTCTGCTGTTTTTGTTTAGATCGGGGGTGTCAAACTCAGTTCCTGAAGGACTGGAGCCCTGCAGAGTTTTGTTCTAATCCTGCTCAAACACACATACCATGTAGTTTTCAAATAAGCCTGAAGGAATTAGTTGGATCAGGTGCATTTAATTAGGGTTGAATCTAAACTCTGCAGGGCTCCGGCACCTGAGTTTGACACCCCTGATTTAGACCAATGTGAAAATCAACCCATGTTTTTACGCTGCAAACACACAGAGCTGTAAATGTGAACTGGTGGATTGATAAGAAGATACTGCATTATAAAAATCTAAACAATTAAGACGCACAGAGTTGTAAATGTGAACAGTTAAGACAGTAAAATATATTTAATTAATATAATAATCGATTGATGATAATAATAGTTTAAATTAATATAATAATTCATACTTTTGACTCATCCATTTACTTAAAAATGGTTATAAGGCTGAAATGTGAAGTTTATCATATTATGAAACTTAGTTTTGTGAAAACCTGTAAATCATGCTTTTTACAGTCATATGTTAAAATAGACGTTGCTCTACCTCGCTCATATGGTATTAATTTTATTTGTGCAGGTCTTAAAAAAGGTCTTAAAAAGTCTTAAATTTGAGCTTAAAAAATCCTGCAGATACCCTGTTTGTAGAGGAGGGTCAAAATGACATTTTCCCTCTGAAATTCAGAGCCAAATTACAGGGGGGTGAAAATGACTTCAGAAAGCTGGCAACATCATTATGTTATTTTTACACAGAGATTGGTAGGTCTATTAGTAAAATCTGTTGACTTTAGCAATCATTTTGTGCCAACGGTGACCATTCAAAAATGGGGGAAAAGCACCTTTCAATTTTTTTCTCCAAAGTTTACATGCCTGTAACTCAAGAAGTATTAAAGGTATCTTAATGCCCTTTTATATTTTGGGTCTTAACAAACTTTCCATTTGGCATCTTCATTTTTAAGGCCCTATATGGTTCAGTTCCAAAGATATTGGAATTTAATTATGGCTCCAGAAGCATATTGCTAAATTGTACACATTTTCAGTGGTCAAAAACTAAATGTGAGTTACTTTGCGTACAGATGATTCTTCTTTTCTTTTAAAGAGGAACAAATAGAAACTAGAAATGTATCTTGTTTCTTTCTGTCAAAACATCTGTATTGAACACACCTATCTGAGTGCCATAAAGATTCTTTTTCCAAAATTTGCGTGTCTGGAACTTAAGAAGTATTAAAGATATTGCAATATGATTTTAGATTCTAGCTCCTAATTAACTTTTCTTTTGGAATCTTCATTTTCAAGGCCCTACCTACATTGTTCAGTCCCAGAGATATGGGGAGGCCAATGCGGCTCCATGTTCAGATTGTTGAATAACACCTGTTTTCAGTGGTCGAAAACCAAATGTTGGTCATTTTGTATACAGCTGATCAGCGTCTAAAGAATAAATAATGTTGAAACTAGAATTGTAGCTTGTTTGCCTCTATCAAAACAACCGAATAGAACATACTCGTCTGAGTCCTATAAAAATGCACTGAAATGGTCAAGTTGAGGCACATTAAAGGACCAATATGTAATTTTCGCTGCTAGAGGGCGCGTATTTAAAATAAACAAAGAGGTTATGACGTCATTGGCAGGCGACACAATGACACTATAGACACGGTCTATAATTGTTAACTAGTTAAAATGGCTTATTTCTCTGGATTTAAAACATTCTTCGAAACATTTGGGATAATGTAAGTACACAAGTCAGCAAAATATGTAACACTGTTCTAGTGGTTTTTGGATATTTTAATAAAAAAAATCTTACATATTGTGCCTTTAACTTGCTGTCAGTAGCCTTATTCACTTTACACTTTTATGAAGTTTCCAAGAAATAAATTGGTCCCTGGCAAAACATCTGCTATTACATTACTGATTTGTCTAAGGTTCATTACAAATGCTGTTTGTAAAGTTTGTAAAGCATAAGAATATGATATACTGTACACCCACTTTCACACTTATGAAAAAGCAGAATGGTGTACTAGTTACAACACTCGCCTGCAAGTGCTAGTAGAGTACGATAATCAGCCAAACTCTGCTTGAACATTAAATGAAATTTGGCATGTTACAGCAGTTCCAGACTGTGATTTATCACAATTTATACATGTTCTTCTAGGATTAAACTGTCTTCTGTTCATTACTGTCCCTCTATAGAGACTGATCGAGGAAGAGAACATGCTCGCACCATCCCTGCAGCAGTTCTCCTTGCGTGTGGAGATGCTTCCCTCATACATTCCTGTTCGAGTAGCCGAAAAAATCTTATTTGTTGGGGAGTCGGTACAAATGTTTGAAAATCACAACCAGAGCCCATCCCGAGCTGGTGAGCTAAAGAGCATTTTGCTGCTGTTGTTCAGTTGCGTTTGTGATGGTTTAGTTTCGTAACGCTGCCCTCATGTGGTTGCCCAGGGTCTATACTGAAGCACCAGGAGGACATGTTTGCAGCGGAGCTCCACAGACTCAAACAGCAGCCTCTCTTTAGTCTGGTGGACTTTGAGAATCTTGTGGATGGCATTCGGAGCACAGTTGCTGAGGTTTGTCCTGTAACTAAATTGGTATACAAAGGTGAATCCCATGAAACATGTCAAAAACATATCTGGGTCATATTTTAACTCGTAATCAAAAGATGAATGAAGCTTATTTTTAAGCCATTAAGATTTTTGTCATCGTGAGATTATTTTCATGAATAAGAACCTGTCATCCATTCTTTACAATAAGGTCCTATTAGATAGCATTACCTAACTATGAGCAATACATTTGTTACAGTATTTATTCATCTTTAAAATTAGTTTGTAAAAAAAAAATACAACTGTTCATCACTGTTAGGTCAAGTTAGCTCAGATTCATTAAATAATTTTAACAGAGAAGTTTTGATTTTAATAATATATTAAAGGGATAGTTCACCCAAAAACCTAACCCTAACCCTCCACTTGTTCAAAACCTGGATGAGTTTCTTTCCTCTGTTGAACACAAACGCGAAGATATTTTGAGGAATGTTGGTAACTAAACAGTTGATGGTAGCCATTGACTTCCATAGTATTTTTTCCATACATAATAATTGTTGAAATTAACATTAACAAATATTAATAAATGCTTTTTTGATTGTTAATTAATGTAGTTAACTAATGTAAACAAATGGAACCTTATTGAAAAGTGTTACCAAAAATGGTTTTAAATTGTTTTGACACCGTTTGTGTTGTATTATATTGATAATGAGAATCTAAAAGATGATAAGATCAGTGGCAGGGCTTCCACAGTCATGGAAAATGTGGAAATGTCAGGAAATATTAGATTCTGATTTCACAGCTGGAAAAGCCATGGAAATGAATTAAGTATCAAAAAAAAAAGATCAAGGAAAAAATGTAAAGGAAAATCTTTGGAAATGTATTTAAGTTTTTTCAAGCTAAAATAGGAGTGTGTTTGAATGACATTCACCCAATCTAACAGCACTAGCAGGTGTCTAGATGCAGTTGTGTTTGTCTTTTTCCTGCAGCACTTATGGACTTTGATGGTTGAAGAATCCGATCTTTTGGGGCAGCTGAAGGTAAAGGGCTGTTTGTTGATGATATGCTTTTGCAGGTGCTCTTTTGCTTTCACAATGAATGTTTTGTTGTTGTTTTAGATCATAAAGGACTTCTACTTGTTGGGGCGAGGTGAACTGTACCAGGTCTTCATTGACCTTGCTCAACATATGCTGAAAACCCCACCATCTGCCGTTACTGAACATGGTATTAAGACACTTTTCTTATAAACCATGAGGTCAGCTTCTTCAAATTCTTCTTACATCTTCATCATTCCTCTGAATTTGCTACATTTGTTTTAGATGTCAATGTGGCATTTCAGCAAGCGGCTCATAAAGTGCTGCTAGACGATGACAATCTTTTGCCCCTCCTGCATCTCACCATAGACTACCAAGGGAAAGAAAGCAAAGGTATTACCTCCTGACTAGCTATTTTATCCTTCACCACCTCTTTCCACATATTAATTACTTTTGAGAATTGGATCATTATGCTTGCAGAGGCTTCTGGGAATCGAGAGGGCACCACTCCTCCACAGGAGACTTCTCCTCGTGAGGCTCCGCCTACTGGCTGGGCAGCGCTGGGATTGGCTTACAAGGTTCAGTGGCCCCTACATATTCTTTTCACTCCTGCTGTGTTGGAGAAGTAGGTCATTGTTTTATGTTAGCAATTTAATATTATTGTTCCATTAATCAAACAGTATGAACACCACAGCAGCTTATATGAAGTTAACCCTTGCTTGACTTCAGGTACAACGTAGTGTTCCGTTACCTGCTGAGTGTGCGTCGAGTCCAATCTGAGCTGCAGCACTGCTGGGCCTTGCAGATGCAGCGCAAGCATCTTAAATCAAACCAGATGGATGCCGTTAAATGGAGACTCCGCAACCACATGGCCTTCCTAGTGGACAACCTTCAGTATTACCTTCAGGTTACTGCTTGAATCATCTAGATGGCTGTCTCTCAATTTGCATACAACACACACATTTTAGTAAATAATACATAATAGAATTATTTTGGTGTTTCCTCCATTGCTCTTCAGGTGGATGTTCTGGAGTCCCAGTTTTCACAGCTCTTACAACAGATCAACTCCACACGAGACTTTGAGAGCATTCGACTGGCCCATGACCATTTCCTCAGCAATCTCCTTGCACAGTCTTTCATTCTGCTCAAGCCTGTGAGTGTCCGTAACAAACCTCCCTTTATGTAAATAATCTAGGCTGTGATTAAATCTATTTCTCTCCCAGGTGTTCCACTGTTTGAATGAGATTCTGGACCTCTGTCACAACTTTTGTTCCCTGGTCAGTCAGAATCTTGGGCCTCTGGATGAAAGAGGAGCTGCGCAGCTGGATATTCTTGTGAAGGTAGCTTTGCTTGTGTGAATCGTTTTCGGAATTATTCCAAATGCAAGACTATTTATGGAAGCCCATTTCTGCCTCACGAGGGGAAAAAAATCATGCTTTGGTAAGTCATAATTTTGATGCCAACCCTGGCTGAAACAACATACAGAACTACCAAATTTTGCTACAAGTTTGATTGCATAATATAATAATTGCTGTTAATAGTGTTCATTGTCCGTTTGATTACGTCTTTAATTGATTTTTCCGTACATTTCTGCCATATGTACATTAACTGACAGTCACCACTGATAAGCTACCACTAAATATTGTAGAAACTTAATTTGCTGTAAAGTTGCTTTGCAACATTTGTATCGTGAAAAGCGCTATACAAATAAACTTGAATTGAATTAAACTTGAACTGAATTTAAATTTTTGACATAAGTCATGATTTTGACAATCTAAATTTAAGAAAGTCATAATAATGACAAAAACTGAAATTATGAGTTATGAAAGTCAAAACTGAGCTACTAAGTGAAAAGTCGGTTATGATAGTCATAATTATGATATAAAAAGTCAAACTTATGAGTCAGTAAAGACTTAAAATTAGGAGATACTAAGTGAAAAGTCAAAATTATGAGTAAAAAGTCAAAATAATCATAATTGAAATTAAAAATTGAAATTGTGAAAAAAACCCTACTGATAATTATGACGAGTTGAAATTGAGATAAAGTCAAGCATGGCAGTTGAAAGTGAGATACTTGGTAAAAAAAAAAAAAAGTCAAAATTATGACAAAGTCAAAATGTAGTTTTTACGTCATAATTATGATTTACCAAATATCTTGATAAGAAATGGGCTTCCATAAATACAATCTTGGATTTGGAATAATTTCAAAATCAGGACTTTTTGTTATAATACATATCATAAATTGTCAAAATAAAAACTTTTATTTCACAATTTCAGCTTTTTATCACATAATTAGGATTTACCCAAGTATGATTTTTTTTGGGTTTTGATAGATATCAACTGTGTCCGATTGCTGTACTTTTACTTTACAGGGTTTTAGTCGTCAGTCATTCCTGCTCTTCAAGATTCTTTCCAGTGTGCGTAACCACCAGATAAACTCTGATTTGGCACAACTGCTGTTACGACTAGATTACAACAAATACTACACACAGGCAGGAGGCACGCTGGGAAGGTAGGCATGACTGATACAGTGCTTTAGTGAGCTGATTCATGTAAAAATGTAACTCGTGTTGTTTGTTGTCCTACAGTTTTGGGCTATAAAGCGGCACCTGAAGATTCGAGGCAAAATTCATACATTGGTGCATCTCAGCTTATTAAAACATGCCTAATACAATAAGTGTGTTCATTTGTATATTTAAAGGAACACACCACTATTTTTGAAAATAGGCTAATTTTCCAACTCCTCTAGAGTTAAACAGTTGAGTTTTACCGTTTTCGAATCCATTCAGCCGATCTCC